CATCCCGTGTCCATTCCCATCCCGTGTCCATTCCCATCCTGTGTCCATCCCGCTGACCATCCCAATTCCATTTCCGTCCCAATGACCGTTCCATCCTGTGTCCATCCCATGTCCATCCCATGTCCATCCCAAATGACCAGTTCCATCCCACTGACCAATCCCATGTCCATTCCCATCCTGTGTCCATGCGGCTGACCAGTCCCATGTCCATTCCCATCCCATTCCGTTCCCATCCCATGTCCATCCTGCTGACCATCCCATGTCCGTGTCCATTCCCATGTCCATTCCCGTGTCCATGTCCATTCCCACCCCGCTGACCATCCCTGTTCCGTTTGCAGCCCGTGTCCATTCCCATGACCATTCCCATGACCATTCCCATGTCCATTCCCGTGTCCATTCCCGTTCCCACCCCGCTGACCGCCCCGTTCCGTTTGCAGCCCGTGTCCATTCCCATGACCATTCCCGTGTCCATTCCCATCCCGTGTCCATTCCCATGTCCATTCCCATGACCATTCCCGTGTCCATTCCCATGTCCATTCCCGTTCCCACCCCCGCTGACCGCCCCGTTCCGTTTGCAGCCCATGTCCATTCCCATGACCATTCCCGTGTCCATCCCATGTCCATTCCCGTGTCCATTCCCACCCCACTGACCATTCCCATTCCGTTTGCAGCCCGTGTCCATTCTGTGTCCATTCCCATGACCATTCCCGTGTCCATTCCCATTTCCATTCCCGTTCCCACCCCGCTGACCATTCCCGTTCCGTTTGCAGCCCATGTCCATCCCATGTCCGTGTCCATTCCCATCCCATGTCCATTCCCACCCCACTGACCATTCCCGTTCCGTTTGCAGCCCATGTCCATCCCATGTCCGTGTCCATTCCCATCCCATGTCCATTCCCACCCCGCTGACCATCCCCATTCCGTTTGCAGCCCATGTCCATTCCCATGACCATTCCCATGACCATTCCCATGTCCATTCCCATCCCGTGTCCATCCCGTGTCCATTCCCATGACCATTCCCATGTCCATTCCCATGACCATTCCGTGTCCATTCCCATGTCCATTCCCGTTCCCACCCCGCTGACCGCCCCGTTCCGTTTGCAGCCCAAGTCCATCCCATTCCCATGTCCATTCCCATCCCACCCCACTGACCATCCCCGTTCCGTTTGCAGCCCGTGTCCATTCCCATGACCATTCCCGTGTCCATCCCGTGTCCATTCCCATGTCCATTCCCATGACCATTCCCGTGTCCATTCCCACCCCACTGACCATCCCCGTTCCGTTTGCAGCCCATGTCCATTCTGTGTCCATTCCCATGACCATTCCCACGTCCATTCCCGTTCCCACCCCACTGACCATCCCCGTTCCGTTTGCAGCCCGCCCCCGCAGCGCCGCCCGCCCTCGGCGCTGCTGCCCCCGGGCCGCCCCCCCGTCCCTGCGCGCCCCGGCCCCGGGGCCGCCGCTGCTGCCGCTGCCCCGGGGGGGCCCCCGCCCGGCCCGGCCCCGCCCGCCTTCGCCGCGCCCCCATCCCCTCCCGCCTCGGCCCCTTCGCCGCCGCCAGCGACCCCTTCACGGCCCCGCCCCAGATCCCCGCCCGGCCCGCGCGGATCCCGCCCGGGATCCCGCCCGGAGTGCCCAGGTGAGACACGGCGGGGACTGGGAGACACTGGGAGACACTGGGAGGGCTGGGATACACTGGGATTGCACTGGGATCCATTGGGATCACACTGGGAGACACTGGGATCGCACTGGGAGGGCTGGGATCCACTCGGATTGCACTGGGATCCATTGGGATCACACTGGGAGACACTGGGGAGGGCTGGGAGCTGCTGAGGAGGGCTGGAAGACACTGGGATTGCACTGGGAGACACTGGGATTGCACTGGGATCGCACTGGGAGACACTGGGGAGGGCTGGGAGACACTGGGATCCATTGGGATCACACTGGGAGACACTGGGGAGGGCTGGGATCCACTCAGATTGCACTGGGATCCATTGGGGTTGCACTGGGAGACACTGGGGAGGGCTGGGGAGGGGCTGGGAGCTGCTGGGAGGGCTGGGGGACACTGGGATCCACTGGAGTCTAACTGGGATCCATTGGGGAGGGCTGGGATCCCACTGGGATCCACTGGGAAGGGCTGGGAGACACTGGAGTTACACTGGCGAGTGTTGGGATCCACCAGGATCCACTGGGAAGGGCAGGGATCCACTGGAGTCCAACCGGGATCCACTGGAGTCCCAACTGGGATCCACTGGGGTCTCACTGGGATCCATTGGGGAGGTCTGGGATCCCCCAGGGTCTCACTGGGATCCACTGGGCTCTCACTGGGATCCACTGGGGTCTCACTGGGATCCAATGGGGTCTCACTGGGATCCACTGGGGTCTCACTGGGATCCACTGGGCTCTCACTGGGCTCTCACTGGGATCCCCCAGGACCCCCCCCGGTCCCTCAGCGCCCCCGTTCTCCCACAGGAGGCCCCCGGCGGCCCCGAGCCGCCCGACCATCATCCGCCCCGCCGAGCCCTCCCTGCTGGATTAGCGCCGGGATCCGCGGGATCCGCCTGCCCCGCGCCGCCAGCGCCGCCCCGGAACGGCCGGGATGGGGGAAAACGGGGAGGAAAACGGGGAAAAAACCAACCCAGAGCCAGCCCAGCGCCCCCGGGGCTGATCCTGGCGCTGATCCCAGGGGATTCTGAATCCTGGGGTGATCCCGGATTCCCATCCCGGGCTGATCCCGGATCCCATCCCGGGCTGATCCCAAATCCTGGGCTGATCCCAAATCCCATCCCGGGGTGATACCAGATCCTGGGGCTGATCCTGGATCCCATCTTGGGGCTGATCCTGGATCCCATCCCAGGCTGATCCCAAATCCTGGGGCTGATCCTGGATCCCATCCTGGGGCTGATCCCGGATCCCATCCCAGGCTGATCCCAAATCCCGGGCTGATTCCAAATCCCATCCTGGGGTGATACCAGATCCTGGGGCTGATCCTGGATCCCATCCTGGGGTGATACCAGATCCCATCCCGGGCTGATCCCAGATCCTGGGGCTGATCCCGGATCCCATCCTGGGGCTGATCCTGGATCCCATCCCGGGCTGATCCCAGATCCTGGGGCTGATCCCAGACCCTGGGGCTGATCCCGGATCCCGTCCCGGGCTGATCCCATCCTGGGCTGATCCCAGACCCTGGGGCTGATCCTGGATCCCGTCCCGGGCTGATCCCAAATCCTGGGCTGATCCTGGATCCCATCCCGGGGTGATCCCGTCCCGGGCTGATCCCAGATCCCGGCGGGGGCAGCTGATCCCGGGCAGGTCCCAGCAGCTGATCCTGGCAGCTCCGGGGCCCTCCCGGTGCCCCCCCGGTGCCCCCTCCCCTCCCCCCCCCCGGGCACTGATGGATTTTGGGGTGGGGGGGGCGGGGGGGGGGGAGGGGAAACTTTGCACTTTGTCAGAATTCCCGAGGGGGGAGGGCCCGGCCCCGCCTCTGCCTTCCCTCCCCCCTCCTCCTCCTCCCTCCTCCTCCTCTGTTCCCGAATTCCGGGGATTTTGCCCCAAACCCACCCGCGGCTCCTCCCCCACCCCCTCCCAGGGGTTTGGGTTTTTGGTTGTTTTTTTTTTCTTTTGTTTTTTGTTTTTTTTTTTTTAAAAAAAGAATTGGGGTTTTTGAGCAGGGGAAGACACTGGAATTCCCAGAGGGATTCAGCAACGATCCCAATTCCCTGAGAACCTCAGGAATTTTCATCCCGGGGATTCCCCGGGAGAGGAGGAGGAGGAGGAGGAGGGGGAGGGGGAGGGGGAGGAAGCTGCGGCCCCCCCGGGGTGGGGGAGGGGGCTTTGCTCTGGAAGCTTCTCCCCCTCCCCTGGCCCCCGTTCCCGATCCCGCTCCGCCGGGAGCCGAGGTTGTAAATATTTTTACAGACTTGTATTAATTGTATAAAAAAAAAAACATAAAAAAAAAGAGGGAAAAAGAAAAAAAGAAAAAAACACACAAAAAACAAACCAGGAAAAAAAAAAAAGAAAACAAAAAAAAAAGAAAAAAAAAAAAAAGGAACAAATGGCGGCCCAGCAATAATGTGGATTTTTCCGACCCTCCCCCCGGCCCCGGTGCCTTAACGACCCCCCGGCTCGGGGGGGCCAATTAATCCATTAACGAGCCGGGGGCGGTTTTTGGGGGGGCGGCTCCGGCCCCCCCCGGGGGTCCCCCCGAAGTGCCTCCGCTCCGCGTCCCATTAATGAACTAAAAACCGGCAAAAAAATCGGAATAAAGGGAAAAAAAATCCAAAACCGAGTGAGTTGTAGAATTCCGAGGGGCGGGGCGCTCATGGGGTGGCTCCCCCCCGTTCCCACCGGATCCAGCCCGGTCCCGTTCTCGGGGGGGGGAATTCCGTGCGGAACGGATAAAAAACGGTTACAAAAATCCCAAATTTAATTCGTGTGCGTCGGGACGGGGGAGCCGCGGGATCCACCCCGAACACCGGGACTGGATCCGGGGGGATTCACCCCAATCCCGGACGGGATTCACCGCAACGAAACCCGGGAATTGGCGGAATTTGGGACGGAAATCCCGCCGGGACCCGTCCTGGGCGCCGCCATCGCCGCGCGACGCCGCTCAGGAAGGCCCCCCCCCTCCCCGGGGCTGCCCGCGGCGCTGCCTGAGGCGGGAGGGGACGCAAGGACCCCCGCCTGAGGGCGATCCCGGCGGCGGCGGCGGATTCCGGTGGCGGATCCCGCTGACAGGTCCCGGTGACAGATCCCGGTGGCGGATCCCGCTGACAGATCCGGTGGAAGATCCCCGTGGAAGATCCCGGTGCTTCCCCCAGTCGCGGATCCCGGATTTTTTCAGGCGCCCTCGGGGGCCGCCCGAGGCGCGGGGTCCTCTCCTGCCCCCTCCGCGCTCATTGGCTGATCCCTCCCGGACGTCCTGAGTTCTGATTGGTCAGCGCGAACTTGGGCCCGCCCCCTCCTCAGCGCGCGGGGTTGGCGAGCGCCCCCTGGCGGAGATGGAGTCCCACAATGCACCGCGTGGGGTCGGGGGGGAATTTGGGGCAGATTTGGGGAATTTTGGGGTAGATTTGGGGAATTTTGGGGCGGATTTTCAGGTCCAGGTAGGAAACTGGGGAGAGATTTGAAGATCTGGGGGCAAACCTGGGGACGCTCGGGGCTGATTTGGGGGTGAGGGCAGATTTGAGGTGTTTCAGGGCAGATTTGGGGGGTTTTTGAGGCAGATTTTGGGGCCTCAGGGGCAGACCTGGGATCCCAGGCTCCCTTCCTCCACCCCTTTCATGTGAAATCACAATAATTTCAGATTTCACACAAATCCGTTCCCAGCCTGGAGCAGCCCCATTTCCCCCCTCCTCCCCCCCCACCCCGAGCTCGGAGCTTTGGGTGTAAAAAACCCAATTTTTGCGCAATGGCTGAAAAGCTCCATTTCCTGGGGCCGAGCAGGCGCTTCCTTCCTGCGCCCCGAGCCCCAGGCGGGGCCCCGGCGGATCCTGGCTGATCCCGGGTGATTCCTCCATCCCGGGGAGCCCCTGAAGCGGAGGAGGATGAGGATGAGGATGAGGATGAAAATGAGGTTGGCGTTTCTGCTCCTCATGGCTGCAGCCTCGTGCTTGAGCCAGACCGGGCCCGATCCCGGCGAGGATTCCCGCCAGAATTCCCGGGATTCCAGCCGGGATTCCCGCCGGGATTCCCGGGACTCCAGCCGGGATTCTCCCCGGAATTCAAACCCGGGATTCCCGCCGGGATCTCCGGATTCCCCCCAGGATTCTCCCCGGGATTCCCCCCGGGGTTCCCCCCGGGGTTCCCGCCGTGGTTCCGGTACCGCCGCCGCCCCGAGGCTCCTCCCGGCGCCGCTGCTGCTCCGGCTGCCCCCGGAGCCGGGGCCGCCCCGGATCCGCTGCCTGGCCCCGCGGCGCTTCACCGGCAGCACCTTCGAGCTGCTCCGGGGGGCTCCCGGCGGTGCCGGTGCGGAGCCTCCCCGCCGCTCCCGACCGGCACTGGGCCGAGTTCGCCCTGCCCGGAGCCGCCGGCTGCTTCCGCTGCCGGTACCGGAGCCACAACGGCAGCGCCTGGCTGGAGTCGGAGCTGAGCCCCGGCACCGGCGGCTCCGGTGGGTGCGGGGAAACCCCGGGGGAATCCCCGTCCCGCATCCCGGGGCCGGCCCGGAGCCGAATTCGGGGTTTTTCTCCCCAGATTTGGGCGATGCTGAATGTCAGCCGAGCACCGGCACCGCCGCGGCACCCGCACCCACGGCAGAGACCCCGTGGAACGGCACCGGGACCCTGCAGAACGGCACCGGGACCCTGCAGAACGGTACCGGCACCAGCACCGGCACCGCCCGGGGCTGCTCCCTGTCACGGTCCCCGGGGCCGGATCCCGGTGCTGGATCCCGGTGATCCCCTCCCTCTCTCCCTTCCAGATCCTCCCTGGGTCCTCCCGGTCTCGGTCGGTGTCGCCTTCCCAGGGCTGCTGCTGCTGCTGGGGGCTGCAACCGCGGCCAGGCGAGGTGGGAGGGGGCCTCGGAACCGGGAGTCCCGGGGGGGTTCGGAACCGGGAATCCCGGGGGGGTTCGGAACCGGGAATCCCGGGGGGTTCAGAGCGCAGGGACCCCCACTCCACTCTGCTGGGTCCCCCCGGTGCCACCGGTTCTGTCCTCACAGGCGTCCGGCGGCGGCGTGGACAGAGCCCCACGGTACCGGCCCCGGTAAGGCCGGACCCCGTGACCCCAAATCCGCCCCGGACCCCTCAGTCCCACCCCGGGATCCCCAAAATTCACACCCCGCGCCCTCCTGTCCCGGCAGAGCTTCCCCTTGGCCCCCGCGCCGACGCCGCCGTCCCCGTGAGGGGTCCCGGTGAGGACACGGAGCCGTGAGCGCGTCCCGGTGTCCGCACGGATCGAGGCTGGCCCTGGATCCGGTCACCGGGAGCCCTCCGGGAGGACCCCCCCCCCTCCGGTGCTGCCGGGGCTCCTCCCGACTCTCGGGTGCCAATAAAGGTGTTCGTCTCCAGCGCCGCCGCATTCCCGGTGTCCCAGTACCGGTGCCCGTTCCCGCTATCCCGGTGGTCCCGTTCCCGGTGTCCTGTTCCCGGTGCCCGTTCCCGTTGCCCTCCTGTCCGCCAGGGGGCGCCACCCTCCCCTCCCGCTCCCGGGATTTGGGGGCGTGTCCACCACAGGGTGGGCGTGGCCACCCCTGGGCGGGGTCCCGGGTCGGGGGTGGGCGCGGCCGGGTCGGGGGGCGGGGCCCCGGGTGGGCGGGGCGCGGCGCGGTCCAAGATGGCCGCGGTGTCGGTGTTCCCCGGCGTGCGGCTCCTCACGGTCGGGGACGCGAACGGGGAGATCCAGCGGCACCAGGAGCAGCAGCCGCTGCGCCTCGAGGTCCCGCACCGGCCCCGACAGCGCCGCCATCGCCCTCTACGGCCGTGAGTGCGCGCGGGGGCCCGGGCGGGGCGGGGGGCCCGGCGGGGGAGGGGGCGTGGGGGGCCGAGGGGAGGGGGGAGGGGCCCTGAGGGGTCGGGGGGGGGGCGGGGGGAGGCCCTGAGGGGTCTCTGGGGATGGGGAGGGGGCGGGAAGGGCCCTGAGGGGTCAGATGTGGGGCTGGGAGGCCCTGAGGGGTCTCTGGGGATGGGGGGGTTTGGGGTGGGGGGGTTTTGGGGGTGCAGGGCCTGGGGGGGACTGGGCTGGGCTGGGCTGGCCTGGGGGGTTCAGAGAGGGGCTGGGGGGGGGGGGGGGGGGGTTCAATGTTCTTCACTTTTGGGGGGGGGGGTCTCGGTCCCGCCCCCCCCCCCCCCCCCCCCCAGCCGGGGTCTCCTCGGGGGCCGCTCGGGATCGGTGGGGGGGGGGGGGGGGGTCCGGTTCCCGGCGTTTCCCGGAGGCTGCGGAAAGTTCATTCCCATCCCCCCCCCCCCCGCTCCCGGCCACTTTTGCCGAAACGGCCCCAATTCCGTGACCTTCCGGGCACCCCCCGGGTTCCGGGGGCGCGGGGGGCGGCGGCGCCGCCGGGGGCGCGGGGGGCGGCGGCGCCGCCGGCCTCCTCTTTGTCTCGGGTTTTTTCCCCGTTCTTTGGGGTTTTTTCCCCGTTCTTTGAGGTTTTTCACGTTCTTTGGGGTTTTTTTTCCCCGTTCTTTGAGGTTTTTCCTCCTTTTCTCCCCAAACCCGGCGCCTCCTGCGCTTTGTGCTCGGGATTCCCGCGGCTCCCGCTTGGGATCGGTGCTGGGGGCGGGCGACCCCCGGCCCCTCCTCCCCTCGGCCTCATTAACAACGGCGCTAATTCGCTCATTACCGCGCGGTTTGACGCCGATACCGGGCAATGGGGGGAAACTGAGGCACGGCGGCCGCTCCCGGGGCTCCGCGGCTCCTCCCGGTACCGGCCCGGCCCCATCTCCCCCCGGAGCCCGCGGGAGCCGTTCCCGAGCCCGCCTTTGTGTGCGGGGCCGGGGCATCCGCGGAGCATCTGCCGCTCCTTTCACCGCCCCACAAAGCGCCGCGGGCTCCCGGGGCTCCCGGCCCGGTACCGGCGGCTGCTCCCGGAGCTCCCGGCCCGGTACCGGCAGCTGCTCCCCGGCCCGGTACCGGCGGCTGCTCCCGGAGCTCCCGGCCCGGTACCGGCGGCTGCTCCCGGGGCTCCCGGCCCGGTACCGGCGGCTGCTCCCGGAGCTCCCGGCCCGGTACCGGCGGCTGCTCCCGGCCCCCTCCGGGAACTCCCCCGCGGCCGCCGGACCCCGGGGCCAAACCGGATTGTTTGGGAAGCGGCCGGGTCCGGTTTTACCGGGCCGGGGGCACCGCGGGGCCGTTCCCGGCTCCCGGGGCAACCCCAGCCCCTCCATCCCCTTCCCCTCCACCCGCGAACCCCAAATCCCCGTTTCTGACGGGAATTCCGGCTGCCCCCCCCCCGGGCCGTGCTTTGGGAGCCCTCCCCCGCGGTAATTAGAGGTTAATTAGGTTAATTGTGCTTTATCCCGCTCTGTGGGGCGGGGTCCGGGCCCGGCGCTCCCCTCACTTTTCTCTCTGTCCCCTCCCTTTTTCCTCCCGTCCCTCCCCATTTTCCCGCCCCGTTCTCCCCCTCCCATTCCCGGTGTTTCCCCCTCCCCATTCCCATTTTTCCCCATCCCCGTTTTTCCCATTT